GTGAAAATGCTATATATTCTATTCAAGTTACTACTAGAGCTCAACTGCGTATACATTATATTTGCTCTTCTACTAGTTATAACAGACAAGTAACATGTTAAATTACCTTTACTCACTATTACCAATATTTATCAATATTTATCAATATACTCTCTCTTTGCTTTCTTGCCGAAGTCAGCTAGTATTAAATATCCAATGAGGATTATTGTTGTTAATGCTATTACTGAAAATTCTCCAAAAATAGGTGAATGGTTATGAAATTCTTTTTTTGCTAATTCTCAAAAAAAAAAAAAAAAAATCGAATTAAAATCGAGAACGAAAGCTAGATACAATAGCAATACTATTAATATAATTTATGATGATAATACTTACAATGTAAATACTAATATATACAGTATATTGTGAAATCATTTATTGTAAAACGCGCCTATGGTGTGCACCTATTATATGTTTTATTATATTTTTTTAAAAATTTTATAAATATAATTTATAACCTAATTTTTTGTACATTGCGGGAGGTTTGGGTTGAGCTATTAAAGACAGAAATGTTTTTATTTAGAGTATCACCCACCACTTAATTAACAGTTTTTGAGGTAATATGAAAAACACCATAGGTACGTTTTAGTAACAGTGTTATAGAAAATTGGGTATTTGGTGTATTACCATATATTACACCTGAAGTACCTGATAAAATGGTGCATAACCTGAGCAACCTGATTATTCATAATTATTCCAAAAGAATATATATCTACGGATTTTTTTGTACGGTTTTCCGCATAATATAATTATTCAGTTCTCCGTTTTTTTGATGTCGGTTTATCAAATCCTCCATGTAAACCACCCAACTTTGATAATATCGATTTATTAACTCCAGTGTTCCGGCTCCATGCAGCATCTTTCTGTAAAATAATGTAATTTATTCAGATTTTATTCAGATTTTATTAAATTATTTAGTAATATAATTAAGAATAAACAAACCCTTGAAGTATCTTGATCTGCTAAATGTGTCCATTTAGTTTGTCCCGCCCTACCAAAATTCTTGACCTGCATAACCTTGGGTAATAGCTCCTTGTGGGCTAAAATAAAAGTTCATCAAAATTAAAATAATTATAATAAGAAATTTAAAAGTATAAAAGTAAAAGTTGATAAATACCTGCTTCATCAGGTGTTGCTTCAGTATAGTCACGTTTGAAAATATCTTCGGTTGGTTCCTAATACGTCAATAAAAACATCAAATTATCTGTGTAAAATATATATTGTAACTATAAATGAAATAATTAATCAACATACTAAGTAGAAAGCACCCTTGTGATAATATTTCTGTAAGAATTTATATTGTCCTTGTGATTTTTTTTCACGTTGTGCCTTTACACGCTCCATATCTTCTGCTAAACGTTGTTCCTCACTCATGTTACGTCTCCTCTCAATATCTTCTTTCTCTTTTTCTCTCCTAAAAAAGAATTATAAAAAAAAAAATTATAAAAAAAACTGTTGCAGCATTTCATTAATGACAAAAGATCCTTTCATTGAAAATACTACATACGCTTCACGTTCTTCTTTATCTCTTTTGATTCTTTTCAATTCACGTAACTTCCATGCTTCATACTCTGCCTGTTCGTCCAAACCATCTGTGTCATCGACTTCATTAACGCCAATTTCTTCATTAACTGCAAATTCATAACTTATTTTAGTGCGAACCGTAAATCTAAAAGAAGTACATAAAAAATATATTAAAAAGAAATTTACCAGTTTTTTGTAATTCTTTCTGAATTGCTTCAGAGACCATTGAATGTGACTCTTTTTTTCTTTCTTCTAATTCTTGTAGTTTCTTCGCTTCAGCTTCTTCTTCTAATTTTTCTTTCCTTTCTTTTTCCAATATTGTCTCCCTATGGGCTCTAGAAATTATTAATAATTAAGCTCTTGAAATTAATTTATATTATTTTTGCATTTGCTTAAATTATAGTCTAACTTGTAGTAAATTGTAATACATACTTTGGAATAAATACAGGCTTTAACAATTTTCTTGATGCTTGTTCTTCTTCTGAATCAGTTTCGTACTCTGATGTTTCTTCACTTTCACTTTCCTGTATATAAGTATTATAAAAAATTATATATGAAATTATTTCATAATAAATATGATATAACATACCTCCTCCTCTGTTTGAGTGGCCTGCGCTTTTTCTGCTTCTTCTATAGCCTTTAATCTTTCTTCCTCTTGTTTTCGCTGTTCTAATACACGATCTCTTAAGCGTTGTCGACGAAGTGCCAAAATGTCATCTTCCTCCTCTACATTTGTTTCAGAATCTTGTTCTATTTTAATATTACGTAATTGTAGATCTCTGACATCTTGATCCTCCTCTTTAAAATGTCTTCGTCTCCTATCAATTACTTCTGAATGTCCGGCCTCCTTGGCCTCCTTTAACCTTCTCAGCCTGCGATCTGAAGCAGCTTCCTTTTCCGTTATATCTACTCTTTCAATACTAGTTATAATTTCGGCCTCTTTTTCTTTTTCGAATTGTTCCTCATCTTCGTCCGAAGAATAATCTTGTATTCCTTCCGGAACTTTTCCGGGCCAATATCGTTGAACTTTGACTGGCTGAGGTGCGACCTCGCCCTTCGAGTTTATACCACCGCGTGCAGCCATTTTTTTTTTTTTAACACATCTAATAACTTTGAAGCTTTGAAATTTAAAAGATCTTCCTTAAATCTACCAACTATTAAAAAATATTTCTACCGCTACGTAGTGCCAATTTTAAGAGAAATTTCAGCACATCAAGTATCACGTGTAAAAAATTGATATTCATGTGATAATTAAATAATAAAATTTTGAAAGTATTTTTCCTTTAAATTTACAATGTCTTCTTCCAAAACTAAGAAGCTTACTGACCAAGGTTAGAACGCATTCTTTAGTTTTTCTTGTAAACAC